GGTGGGGAGGGGGGGGGTGGCCTCTTCCTTCCTTCTTCTTTTAGTCGCGTGAGTTGCCAAAGTATTCCCCTCCCCACAGAATGCTCACCTTGTTCCATCAGCATCAGTAAAAATCAATTCGCCCCAGCCGCGGTAAAAGCCCGGCTTCCGGGTGAACCAGAGCAGCACCAGAACAAGAAAGAGGAAGGTGACAACTTTTTCTGCAAAGGTCATAGGACCCAGCTGCCTGTGCTCTCTTTGGATGACTTGGATGCCTGCGCGCTCTTGCTCCTGCGTCTGTCCCTCAATGCCAAAGTTCCTCCTGAAGCTGCAGGTAGAGCGGAAGGGACAGTTCAGGAGGGCCTCGCACCAAGCAAGGTAGCAAGGGGCTCTGAGTGTCTGTGATGCAAAGGCTGAGGCCTGCAGAGGCCATCTCGGAGTTGCTACACAAAGGCCCTGGATCCACCCAAGTTTATGGAAGAGGAGCAGAAGGCTCAGAGGCAGGGAGGTGGGTCATGAGGCAGAGGCAAGATTGGGTATGGGGCACCAGGTTTCCACCTGCTCCATCTGCCCACTGACCCCCTGACCCTCCAAGGGTTCTCTTGAGCTGAACCCTCCTATGCCCAGAGTGAGGAGGACCTAGAGGTCCAGACCCCTTGCCTTATTCTGGCTTTGTCTCTCTGCTCCCCTCCTCCAATGGCCTTTCAAGAAATCCTCCCCTCCCTCTCCCCTACTAGCTTCTAGGCACCCTCTGCCAGCCTGAGCCCCATCCACATCATCCTCACAGGCACAGAAGGCTTTAGCCTACTTCCATAGGCTACTTATTTAATTCATGTTGACTTTTACTTTTCACAGGCAAATCTCAATTCCTTTACTGGATGGTGAGTTTCTCAAGGGCAAAGACCATGCTTCACACGTCTTTAAATTCCCCGTGGTGCCTGGCACTGGGCTGATCTCTTTGACTGCCATCGTACCTTTTACCAGTCCCTAACCTCGATCCATCCTCCTCATACCCACCCAAGCAATGTTTCCAAAGTACGGCAACAATGCTTAAAAATTTTCAATGGCTCCCCACTGCCTGGTCAGGAAAGGCAAATAACCAATACCACAGTACCACTCATATCACCATTCTTACCCTGTACTCATAGTGGACTTAACTAATTAATCCCAGACTACTCCTACTGAGCCCTAGCAAGGTCTCAAGTGATTTTCAACTCAGAATTCTAGTGACTACCAGTCATCGAGAGTTGTTAGTAGGAATAAAACCTATTTACTACTCAGCCTCAAGGACAAGGCCCAAACTCTTCATGCGGCACACAACAACCTCTCAAATCCTTCCCCTGCCTACTTCTCTAATTTCATCTCTTAATGTTCCTTTTTGTTCTTTATGTTCCAATCACAGAGAACTAGAGTTCCCCCAAACACATCATATTCTTTCTCGCTTCTATGCCTTGGTACAAGGTGTTCATCTCCTCCAGGGGCCACTGGAACTGCTGCTCTCCTGGGCTGTGCTCCCACAGCACCTGGCTTTCCCTGTGTCACAGTCCCACCAGGTCATCACCCATCAGATGGTGAGCTCCAAAGACAGGGACCGTGCCGTAATGTCTTCTAGTGTTCTCAGTGCCTAGGAGCCCGGCAAACGCGTGTTCAGTGTGCTCAGTGTGATCTCAAACACTTACCAAAGAACTGTGGAGCGTATGGAATGGGACCTGGCCTGGGCTTCAGACCCGGTTTTCAATCCCGGCACTGACAAATCTAGTTGTATACCATGCCTCGAGCCTCAGTTTGTTCATCTGCTAAAAGGGATAATAATACTCTCTGCCCAGTAATTCCCTCAAAGAGGGGGTCCAAGCATAACGAGGGGTCTTGGGAGGGAGAGGTCTTCTCACTAGGATGGTGATTTTATCCTTTTCCACAATAACTACCTGGTTAGCCAACTGAAAGCTCCAGAGGATAAGGGCAGGGACCTGGGCTTCTCTCATCCATTCTGCCACTTACTTGAACCCCAAGAAGAGGATCTGAAGCCATATCCAGGTAAGCAGCAGCAAGATGACCATGACCGGGAAGGCAAAGCCGAACCAGGAGGCAAAGTTCACCACGTTGACATTGTTTGGGAAGAGCCTGAAGGAGGATGTGGGCTGCTGTGGGACATTGCCTGGCACCCACCAGGCCCCATTTCCCCCTCAGTGAGAGTACAGTCCCCCAACCCCTCGGTTACTCACGAGTTGACCTGGCCTTGCAGCACCAGGTTGGGTGCGGTACCAGTCAGTGTGGCGAGGCCCCCAATGCTGGCTGAGTAGCACACGCACAGGCTCATGCCCTGGGAAAATTTATAGTTCTTCTGGATCCTATTTGTCTTTGATTCCAAAGAACCGGGTGGGAGAGGGTGGATCTGCCTGTTATCTGGGAACAAGGAAGAGCTCAGGTGAGTAGTGGGCACCAGGTCAGCTCCGGGAGCATGGCTGGAGCTCTGTGGCCTCTGAGGTATAGGCAGGGCACCTTGTTAGCGAGCAGCCCAGATCTGGGGTGCTGTGGAGGCAGAGGCTGCCTCTAGGCTTGTAAGGGCCCAGCACTCCTGGGAGTCTTAAGTTGGGTTGACCTTCTGGTCCAAACTTTTTCTTGAGAGAGGGAAACTGAGGCATGGAGAAGGGCAAAAGATTATCCAAACCCACAGAGGAAGAATGGAACCTGGACCCCTGATGGCCCACCCAGAATCCAGCTCTCAGCTCTTCAGGGTGACCCAACATCTTGGTTTGCCCAGGACTGAGGGGTTTCCCAGCACATGGGACTCTGTTTTAAAACGAGGAAATTCTGGGAAAAGTAGGATAAATTGGTCACGGCACTTCTTGCCTCCTTCTTCTCTCCTGAGAGTGGACGTCCCCTCAGACCCTCCCCAAGAGCCAAGGGGTTGGGACAGGGTCCAATCTCATCTTTCTCACCATGTTTGGTCACTTTCTTCTCGGCACTTGTTTCCTGGAATTCAAAGGTGGGGTTACTTCTGCCTTCCTCAATGTCCCTGTCCCTGGGTGACTTGTGCAGCTGCTGAAGGACAGCATGAGAAATGGGCATCATCATGGCCGTGGAGGCTGTGTTGCTGATCCACATGGACAGGAAGGCTGTGACCAACATGAAGCCCAGCATCAACCTAGGGACAGACAGACAGTCCCACTGGTGTTCCAACATCCTTTCAGGGACTAGATGCCCAGAATACCACTGGCCCGTGGCGCTCCAGTCTTGATTTGTGGGAACTCACAGAGCAGGCCGCACCCCGATGGTGAGGAGCACACGGAGGGCAATGCGTTTGTGCAGATTCCGATGCTCGACGGCAATGGCCACCAGCAGCCCCCCCAGGAACAGGACGTTGGTGTCATTGAAGTACTGGACGCAGACCTGGATGGGCAGGGACAACTGAGAGGCAGGAAGACCCTGGGGTCTTCCACTGTGCCCCTGGGCTTACGAAGTGCAGTCACCGACTTTTCCACAGAGGTTGGTCCTTGGGCTCTTGGAATCAAATGGAAAGAGTCTTTGGATTACCTGCTATTTAATATTAACCAGGTTCCTCTCTTCCTGCCAAAATCATTCTTTCTCCCCTCAGGAACGACTAGGAGATAATCTAGCCTGATTCCACTCATGTTTACAGCCAGAGCCTGAGAGAAAGATAATTTAGTGCTGTTTCTAGAAACTAGAGCAGCAGTTCTCAGAGTGCGGTCCCTGGGCCAACATCTTCACCAACCTGGAGCTTGTCAGAAATGAAATGTTTAGGTTCTGCTCCAGGTCCACTGAATCAGAAATTCTGGGGTGGGCCCAACAATCTAAATTTTACCCAGCTCTCTAGTTTAAGGACACTCAAATTTAAGAGTCACTGAAGCCAAGCTCTTTAGCTGACTTTCAAGGCCCCTTTTCCCCTGTCACTAGGCCTTTTCACCTCCCTGGCCTAAGCCTAATCATTCCCACTTTGAATTAACTCTCTACACCGGCCATACACTCAGCAATTCTAGAATGTCCTCCCTCTTTGTCTTCTAGATGATTCCTCCCGCAGTGATCTCTGACCTGCCAAGTAGACGCAGAGACCCTCTTCTGTGCTTGCCTGTGATGAGGCTTCCTGGGTCATGAGCATCCTTGGGCAGACCCCACCACCCCTGGGAGCCCTTCCTCATGGGACAGGGCAAGCTTACCTCAGAGGCCTTCATTATGCCCATCATGGGGAACAGGATGATGGGGAAGAGAGCAGTCACAGCCAGAGGCAAAGCCTCAGTGCACCAGAAGACTGCCATGAGGATGATGGCATAGGCACAGTAGGCTTCCTGTGGGTGGAAGGGGAGCGGCAGAGCTGTTAGAAAGGGCAAGTCTGTATCCTAGAGTCATATCATCCCTTGCTCCCAGAGAAAATAGGTCATTTTTAACAGTGTGAGGAGAGCCTGTGAAACCCACGGTCATTGATTTCTGAGCCCAAGGTCCAATTTCAAATGGAAATAAAAAAGCAAGGCACTCACCACTTTGACCTTGGAGAGCCCAGACATTATAATCCAGCCATACTGGAGGGGCTGAAGGATCTGGAGTTGGGTATCAGTTCCCGCCTAGCTCAAGGGGACTACAGGAGACCCAGGTGAGGATCCCTAGATGAGGATCCCTAGATGAGGGACTGGGGCCTGGGCAATATGGATCACTGCCTGGTACCCTGGCCTCTTCTGGCTTTACCAGAGCCTGCAAGAATGTAATTATTTGTATGATGATTTATTAATGTTTGTTCCCTCTACTAGGAGGTAAGCTTCGTGAGGACATAGTCGGTTTTGTGGCATCTGGATTCTTGGCGCTCAGGACCTAGTAGGCTCCAGAGTAAATCTTTTCTGAATAAATGAATCACTGGAAAGTTTTGGGAATGGAAGAGGGTCTCCTTCCTATCGGTCCTGGCACAATCGGTGCATTGCACAACTCCAGGAGGTGCCATTCCCATTTTACAGACTATGTGAAACTTTCCTCTATCTTTGCTTTGTGCAAGGAATTGTGGAGCAAATGCTGAGTCATAGTCTTGTGAGCCTTTGAATACCAGAGGCCCCCCTTTCTCTGATGAGGTCTCCAAGTCTAGAAAGGCTCGACCTAAGGCCCGGAGAAGAAATGGAAGTCAGGCAGTTAACCCCTGATGTCAGAGGCCCATCTCATTGACACAGCCTCTCTGCAGGGCTGTCAGGGAGTGCGGGGGAGCCTCCTCAGGGGTACATGCTCATTCTTTGCCAAAGGAAGGGGCTGTACGCTGGGACAATGGGGCTAGGGAGCCCCTCCTCTCTTATCTGTCTCTCTCAACCTCCCTGCCCTTGTTTTCTACACCTGCTACAGGCTGGGCTCACCCCTTAGTACCTCATGCTTTTAGTACCTTGAAGCTTGGGGTGGGTCCTTGGGGGTGGCCTGGGGGAAGGAGAAGCTGCTGATCATGGAGAATTTATTAAGAGCTGGGTGTTTTTATGTTGTTAGGTAAACTCAAACAGTTATTAAGGGGGTGTGGTGGTCCCTTAGAGAGGACCTTGCTCAAGGCCACAGAACTAGGGAGTGGCAGAGACAGGATGGGACCAGGTAAGGTGTCTGAATCACATAACTCCAAGAGAACTCTTTCTGTAGACTTCATAATTGGCACTCCTGCAGGGGTGCAGCACACAGCCTACCCAGCCCTGCTGGAGAACCAAATCTGTCAGGCTCACTTTACTTCCAATAAACTTCCACCACCTATCCTCACCCCAGACACGAATGAACTCAAGGGCCCCAGGGGTGGGGCTACCTTGACCCTCGACCGGAGACCCACCCCCCATTCCTCCCCTAGCAGGAGGCTGATTCTGCTGAGCCTGCTGTTTCCTCAATCACTTTCTCAACTACAAAGATTGTGAGGCCAGTTACTCATCCTCCCCCGGGGGCTAAGGGCAGGCCAGCTGTTGTGGACCTTGGCAGACCATTACTCTGCTGATTCAAGAAGAAAGCTCTGCTAATCAGGCCAGCAGAAGGATCCTGAGGACTATGTTGGTAAGCATTGTGCTCTCCATGCTGTGCTTCAGAAGTTTTTTAATCACGTTTAGTTGCTCTGTGAGGTAATGACCATTGTTCCCATTTCACCGACAAGAAACGAATGCACAGATACATTAAGTAAATGCCTTGAAATTACACAAATAAGTGGAGAGACCAGGCTATCTGGTTCTTGCGCCCCAGCTTTTACCTTCTACCTTGAGTTTAATCTCTTGCATTCGAGGAGTGTCCCCCACCCTCGGGCTTGCTGTGACCAGTGGGATGTATGGAGATGAGCTGGGGCTTTGAATCCAAATAGAACTATTTACCGTGGGGCCTGCTACTTCTTGTTGCATGTTCCTTCACTTCTGAAACCCCATTTCCACACTCCAAAGGGAACTGTTAATAGTTGAACCTGCCCCTGTGAGCTCAGAGTGTTCAATCTATGGCTCCCCTATCCCATTACAACTTCCCTGCATCCCTCTGGATCGAAATCCAAAACTGTTTTCACAGTTCCATCCAGGAGCCTTTTCTGGCCCTGGTGGCTCTGGCCCTGTGTCCCCAACCCATGATCTTGGGGAGCCTGTCCAGCTGTAGCATAATTTGCTGACCTGCTCTTCTTGGTTCATGGGGTTTGGAATTCCAAAAATCCATAAAGTTGGATGGGAAAACTGCTTCACCTTTTTGCTAACATCTAACTAATATTATGAACATAGGCAACAAAACCGTACAACATTTAATGGTGCTGTTGGTGATTTTGTCACAGATATTTAATTAAGGTTATCAGCTATTAGATACCCATACCATTATTATACCAACACTAGATCTTATTTAATAAGTTAATGAAGAAGCACCTATATTTCTGAATTGCAATTGGTTTTTTCATATTTTTATAACTGTATTTCAAAATAATTGGTTTCTTTTTTAATCCTACGCATTTTATTTTGTACATTTCAAAGCAATATTATTCTTGAGAACAGCCCACAATCTCCGCCACAGTCAAAGTCAGTCATGGCTCAGAAATGAGTCAGAATCCCTGCCTTAAGAAAGAGAGAAAGAAAATACTTATCTGGCACCAACTACTATGGCCTCCCTGAATCACTTTGGGAATTTTCTAAATTTCCAATCCCATCCCTATGTGGAATTAGTCTCTGGGTGGGAGCAGGGGTCTCTACAAACCCCAGCAACACAGATGTGAGCTGGAGTGGAGAGTTTACAGTGGTCAGACAGAGGCAGGTGGGTGCTTCGCACAGGTCCTCTCTCAATTCATCCTTACATCTCTATGAGGCAATGTGGTTCTCATTACTTCCATTAAAAGGTGAGGAAACCGCAAACTCAGGGAGGCTGGCATTGCTTTGTTGACATTTGTGGCTGAACCTTACAGGGCCTGGGTTTGAGGCTGGGGAGCTGTTTGTGTTCTGAGTGGCCCCCTTGAGTCAGGTGCCAGCCTCTTGGGTACCCCCTGAGGGGAGAACTCGGGGGAACCTTTTTCCTTGACCCCACCTGTGTCTTATTCCAAGGTCAGTATCCCCAGCTTTAGAAGTGAATACTTAGGGGTCAGATCTGTTCATCAGGCACTCATTCGACAAACACCCTTTCTACTCCCGGTCTCCAGTCCTGCTGATCTATGCCTAAAATGCTCCCGTTTACTTCTGTTCAGCTCTGGCCACTAGCCTGATTCAAGCTTCAGCATCTGTCACCAAGATTCTTACAAGAGCCTTCTTATTCACCTCTCTCTCTTGCTGAAATCTCAAGCTTCTCTCTTGCTCCTGAAATCTCTTCTCCTTGCTGTAGCCAGAGTGATCTTGAGGCACAAGTCTATTTATTCCACACCCAACCTTCCCAACGTACACACCTCAAAGCAGCTCAAATCCCTTTGGGGTTTCCCATTGCTCTTAGGAAAAGTTCAGGGCTGTTCTGTGCCTCTCCTCTTGCTTTCTGCTCCAGTCACACTGGCTCTTTTCCAAGTCTTCAAATGCTCCATCCTCCCTGTATCCACAGGGCCTTTGCACATAATTTCCTCTCTTCCCTCCTTACTTTGCCCAGCTGATATCTACCATTCTTGAAATCTCAATTCAAATATTCCTTTTTTTTAGGGACTATGGCCTCCAGGTCGGGATATAATTAATATTTTTTATGCTCTAAGCCCTTATACCTCTTTTGCATAGATAGCACTCATCACAGTCTGTAATGAACCATTTAATTTCATGTATTTCTTGATGAATATCGATCTTTGTCTTTAGTCTGTACTCTTCAAGGAGCAGGGTCTGAGTCTGTTTCTGCTCACCCGGGAGGGTACCTGGCACCTAGATAGAGTTGACACCCTGAATGAATGAGTGAATGAATGTTGGACACGAGAGATACAGATATGAATCAGGCCCAACCCTGGCCCTCAGAAAGTCTGAGTTTGGGCTGGCCCATTGGCCATGTGTGGGCAGGCTGTTCTGCAAGGCAAACAGCAGATAAGAGATGAATTCTCAGAAGGCTTCCAAACCCCAAAGGTGGCAGTCTGCTTCTTTTGAACAGAGGTCAGAACATCTGAGTGTCCAGGCCCAGTTTTATTGCTGTGTGTCCTTGGGCAGGTTGCTTAACCTCTCTCAGCTTGCTTTTTTTTTTTCCCGATAAGTAACACTGAGCGTTTTCAGCGGCCCACACATTCATTTCCTGTATAAGGTTTTCTTATCAACAAATGAGAATAAGAGAAACACCCGCCTTGCTGGGTTATGATAAGGATGAGGGATGTGAATATATAGCTATAAGCCATAAAGGACTATAGATGGCAGGGGGCAGATGGCAGGGTTGGTGCTGAGACAGAAATGTGCTCTTGGGCTTCTGGGGAATCAGGGTGAAAGCAAGAGATACAAATGAAGACGAAGGTGCCCAGGAATTCAGGGCAGACTGAATTCCTTGGGGCAAGTTGTGGGATCTGCAGGCATCACACTCTCTACCTGTGACAGGCACAGAGAAGCCTGTGGCTGTTGGGCAGCAGCAAATATTTCCAGTCTTGGAGGTGTCACAACTTATTTTAACCCAGGGGTGGGGATGGGCTAGAATACAGCAGGCCACTTCCATTGCTCCTCTGCCCCTGGCAAGCAGGGATGCTGCTGGCAGGGAACACTTCTAAGTCTGGAAGTGAGGCAAGGCACTGGGTGGTAGCTTGCCAAGCACCGTTGCAAAGGTGAGACCAGAGAGTGGGATCCCAGAACAGAAGGGGTCCCCTCCCTGAGCCTCTGTCCTCAGCTGAGGGAGATTTCCAGAGAAGTGACACTGAGTGGGTACCGAGGGATAAATAAGAGTTCGGTGAGTGGTAAGAAGA